CTGGTCCTCCAGGCTTTGATTCACCAGCTCTGCTGAATGAACGCCTGCCAGTGCACTGTGTCACTCTGGCAAACCCACTCGCCTCAGTTTCCTTGCCTTGCAGGGGCAGGAGAGGGCAGGCGTCACACCGCCGGGCCTCAGGGACATGCTCGGACGCTTTTCCCGGCAGCCCTTGTTTCTTTCCCATGATCACTGACTCCCAGGCCCTCTGTCCTCCCAACAGGTTCCTAGTCTGGTGCCCCGGATCCCATTTATGTGATTTTCAATGTTGGTCCCTTAGGAATCTCCTGGGAACCCCGGGGTCCCTGGTTGAGTAGCGCTGCTGTGAAGGATGGTTCTCCTTCATAACGTTTGATTTCCTTTTTCCTTTCAGCAACAAGCATGTAATGGTTTGGAACACAAATTTAATCCAGAAACAAACAAACAAACAAAGGCCAAAACGCATTCTTCTCTTGAGAAAGACATCACTGGAAGCCTCAAAGAGCAGGCTATAAAGTTATATTGAGTAGAAACCCCAATGGAAAAAAAAAATGGATCATTTCTGTCAATATAGTGTGCAGTCCCGAGCACTGTACTCACTTCCCTGGTTTCAGGCCCTTAGGCGTTGTGTGTGAGCAACTCTCCTCTCGGGCCCCGGAGGTCAGCAGTGCACCTGATTTTCTGGCCACTTAGTATCCTGGACCCCAGTGTGATCCCCCTGTGAGGGCTGGCACACATCCAGTTACTTCCCACCCCACTTTCCACCCCTTTCCTTCTAGGTCATGCGGTGCACACAGGGTGATCCACACAGAGTGGGGGTCACGTCCACATCCCACCTGTCTGGCTGACCCCTCTGAACCACCAGCGCCTGGAGGGAAGACTGCAGGCATGAGGCTATGAGAATCGCTGAGTGCCATCCTGTGCTTTCTGGTTTAACACAGAAACAACAACTCTCAATGAAAACAAAAACAAACCCATAAAGCTAAACCCAGCTCAGCTATTTAAGTGGAGCGCCCCCCCACAGCCCACAGCCCCCCCTTAGTCTCACTGTTTAAAAACACTGCAACAGCAGTCTTAATGAAGCTTGAAATTCAAGCTTAATTTGGAAAGGATTGCTTTCAGCCTCGCAAACTGGGAGAGCAGAGAAACCAGGGGTTCTTAGAACACGGGGCGAGCCAAGTGTTGCTTACCAAGGAGGCCCGGGTTGGAGCGGTCTGGTGTGGCTACCGACCCGCCTGCCCCATGCCAGTGGGCATAGCCCGGTTGCCACTCACCCTGGCTTCTTCCCCCAGGGCGAGTCCAGAACCCCACACTGTTGGGCTGCAGGCGGCCCCCAACAACGAGAAAGGGCTGAACAGGCGCCCTGCTCCACTCTGTTCTGCTCCTCCTCCTACCGCCAGAGACCAGCCTTGACCCCAGCAGGAGGAACGAGGGGCGTGAGACGCTGGGGACTGAGTTCAGGCCACGCTGACAGCCGACTGTGTGGCCTTCACCTGCCCCATCTCTACTTCGTTTCCTCCTGGTCCCCCGCGAGGCAGGAGCAAGAAGGAGGCCGGGCCAGTGTTCACGTCACTGTTAGCCCACAGCCAATGCCACATGCTCCCTCTCCAAATCCCCCTCACAGAGATCCTCCCGCTTCCCCTCCTCCCAGGCTTCTCCTGGGTGTGGCTTGGGACTGTGTCCCCTGTTGCATCTGCTCTAAAGGAAATTGTGTCCTTCAGCCTCCATCAGTGGGAGGTGTCGGGGTCATGATTTTCCCCAGGAACTTCCCAAGGAGAAAGGCTCGTTAGGGCCCTATGGAAAGGGTCTGTTGACATAGAGACAGACATAGCTTCACAGACATGTGCCGAGTGCAACTGGAAACAGTCCCACGCTAACTATGACTCCCTGGACACTGCCATGTACCCACTGCCCAGCCTCTCTCCCCACTAAAGTGCTCCCTATTAGACCCAGGCTGAGGCACAGACAGGTGGGTGAGGCTGGCCTCCCTGCCTTCGGGAGAGGGGACAGTCTACTCCCAGTTTCTCTACCTGTGCCACCCCTAAAGCCAGGACTCCTGGCACTGCCCCTTTGGCTATTCCAATGTGGAAGGAGTCCACCAACAAGGAGGATTCAAAGTGAGGCATCACTTTCCTCACAACACAGAGGAGGATGTGTTTCGAAGACCAAGTTCTCTCAATCTTCCTCCTCCCCTGCTAGTTATAAGGATGTTCCTGGGCCAGAAAGAAAGCACAGTAGATTAGGCACTGGCCTTGCAATGCAGCCAACCAGGGTTAGATCCCTGGTACCATATGTGGACCCCTGAGTGATTCCTGAGCACAAAGCCATGAGTGAGCCCTGAGCACTATCAAATTGTGGTAAGTGCATGCATATACATGTGCACACACACACACACACACACAGAGCAAACAATCAATCAGGATGTACCAAGGGCTACTGTATTGGGGAGATGGGAGGTCCTATAGGCCAGAGACCTAATCACAGTTTCTAGAAGGCACCAGATAATTTGATAGTATCAGCTGAGCGAATGAATCCTCCTTCCTCAAGCAACAAGCCCACGGCACGGCAGATACTGGCTTTTCTCTCCCATCTGATGGGGGAGATACAGAAGATGAACACTATGTCCTATATATCTCTGACGTTCCAGACCCCTGGACAGGAGCCGATGCACAGAACACAGTCAACATTGGTAAAAATAAATAAACAAAAAGAAAAAGAGGAGTGGGAAGATTCTTGCTTTGCACATGGCTGATCCAGGCTAAAATTTCTGACAATGCCTATGATCCCCCAAGCCACACACAGGAATCATCCCTGAGCAAAGAGTCAGGAGTGATGAAAAAAAAAAAAAAGCAAAAGAATGGAGATTACAGCACTGTAGTATGGTGGTGCTAGTGAACAAACCAAGCAGGGCTGGATAAAGAAATGGAGTCAGTAATCAAAAGTTTCCAAAACAAAAGCCCAGGACCAGATGACTCTGCTAGTGAATTGGACCAAAGTCTCAAAGAAGCTCTAATCCCTTCTCAAACGCTTCCAAAAACGGAAGAGGTGGGCATGAACCCAAACACATCCTTTAGGGCCCCTGTCCTGCTTTCAGTACCAGAGTAAGCCAGCCCGCTTCCCCAACAGACACACATCTATGTGTCCATGCATGTCCAAAGTGAGGGCCGACAAATCCTTCCTAGAAAGCACCAGCCTCATGGTCCTCCCTAGTCTGAAAACAGAGCACCGTGAGCTTACGACTGGGTCTAGCCTGTGCCTGAGGCTCTCTATGAATACAAAGTCCTTCCCTTTCCCAGAAACACCTCCGACCTGCTCAATTCTCGCCCTCTTGGTGGACACTCTCCTCCTCCCACAACACCTGGCAATGCTTTGGCATCCCTTAGCATAGCCCTGAGCACTTCCTGCTGCCTCTTTGTCACTTGAGTTCCAGAAGTACAGTGATGGGACTTTTCTATCACTGTGCTTGGCTTGGGATCTGGCCTTATAACCAGAGAATATTTAGGGAGAATCTGAATATTTAGGGAGCAAAAGAATGAACTCAGAGATGGAGCAACAGTATAGTGGGGAGGGTTCTTGTCTTGCACATGGCCAACCTGGGTTCAATTCCTGCATCCCCTAAGCACTATCAAGAGAGATCCCTGAGCACAGAGCAGAAGTAACCACTGAGTATTGCCAGGTGTGGCCCAAAAGACAAAAAAAAAAATGAACGAATGAGCTCTTATAAGTTTCAGCCTGACTAAGGAACATTTCAGCTCCACAAGGTATCCTGAGAACATGGGCAGGCAGTGTCTGCCAAGCGATAAAGGCCTAGCAGTTCCTTGATGACAACCACTGGGTCCCCAAGCTGGGCACCCTTTGGAACCAGCCACCTCCTGGCTGTGGGCGGCTGGTGGGAAGATGGACTGTAGGCTTTGACAATGACCAGCAGTTGGCATCAGCCATTTCCGGATTGCTGGAGGCCACTCAAGGCAACGAGTTCAAGGCAACGAGGCCACACATTCGCCAGGGTAATCACCAATAATATACACTTGGCCTTTTAATCCTTATGGTGATTTGAGATTTTAAAATCCATCTAAGTAGAAAATTCCCAAAGGTCGGGATGCCGTTTCTGGCCTGCTGATTTCCTATTCTGCACAGAATACTAGCAAGTCCCCCAGAATGGATGGGAGAGGGTGAAACAGCCGGCTGTCAGGACAGCCATAAGAAAGGAGGCGCTGATGGTGTCAGAGGCTTTTCACGCCTCTTCCTTTCCATCCTGCTGATCATCTTCAGATGAGACACCGGTGGAGTCAGAGCCAATCAACCCATCTTCCGGGCAGAAAAGCAAAGCCCACAACGGCCCTGTCTATCCGAGTCTACACTGCAGGTCTGAGGCTGCTTATAGGACTGATGAAAGGATATGATGCATCTGCCTCCTCTGAGAAACAGGGAGCATGAGACCCCTTGGTCAGCAGCTTTCTGAGGATCCACAGGGAGCAGCGTCAGGACCAGAATCAGAACTCGGGTCACCTCCCTCTCACCCAACAGATGGTTCACTAGACTGGGCCATCTTCCTGGTGGTTTGGACCAGACAAGAAAACTCCCAACCTCAAAGCCACTCTTGGTTACGAACCCTGGCCACAGAGGGTGCAGAGGTGGGGCCCAGAGTAACCGGGGAGACATGACGTGCAGAATCAGAGGAGGTTGAAGGGGATCCTTTCCCTCCCCGGGGAAGCCTTTCTGCCACTTCCCGTGACACTGAATAGGAAGGGCCATCTCGCCCAACCTCTAAAAACACTTGCCCAGCAGCTGCTTCCGCTGCTGGCCAATGCGATGCTGTGTCTTCCACATACCACCTCGCAGTGCTCACCAGGGATGGCAGGTGCCCTCCAAGAGTGCGCTGAGGATGACTCAGAGGGAAGCACAGCTCCTGCTTGAGCTCACAGATGCCTGCGTGCCCACCCCCAGCCCCCTGCCTGTCAGCTCCACGATGCCCACCTCCACCCCCGGGCCCTACCGCCCCATGCAGGATGCGGCTCTACCTCCATCGTTGTCTTTGCTGTCACCACAGGCTGTCTCCATGGACGTGTCACAGCCAGCTCCTCGCCAGCCCAGCTGGCAGACGCAGTGCCACCCGTTCAGGTCCAAGGTACACCGGCCGTTCCCGTTGCACAAGCCAGGACAGCCCTCTGCAAGGCAAAGCACAGTGTCAGAATCTGCCTATCCACAGCTACCATCCACACACGCTCACACACACACACACACACACACTCACTTGTGTGTGCTCACTGCCACATCATACCACATATACACATTCACTCATACACACCACACACACTCATACGAACACATTCATATATACCCCACATACTCGCAGATATACTTACTCATAATTATCACATACACACATACCACAGACTCTCATAAATTATTCACCCACACACCACACGCACATGTATATGCACACACACATTCACATCTACATCTAGACACTCTTAGACTACACACGCATACACACAACACATACACACAACACACACACTTACATCTACACTTATACATGCACATACATTCACACTGATACACACCACACACTCACACGTTTATACTCAGGCACACCATACACACTCACAGGTTCATATATACACTCACATTACCGCACACCACACACACTCATGCACACTACACACACTCACAATACACACTTGTACACGCACATTAACACTCCTACCACACACTCACGTACACTTATGCTCATACATTTATACCCTAATCGCATTCACACGTACCGCCTCCACGTCACACTTACACACTACCTGCACCTCTCAGAATGCTCCCACATCCGTCTGTATGGCTCAGCACCCAGGAGTCTCACTGGGAATGGAAGGGCCTCTTGATGAGAGGAGCCTGGCACTCAGCGGGGACAGGACTGGGAAGGCCAGCCAAGAAGTGGCGGGGAGAGGTGTAGGCTCCCACCAGCGTCCCCTTTCTTTCAACACCCCCTCTTCCATAGGGACCCCTCCTAGGGTGGTGGGTATATGCCTACAGGTCTGTCAGACTCCAACCAGGGCGTGCCGTACCCCCCTCTCTCCTCATTCACTCTGGCTCTCACGGGTTTTTCCTGCTCGGGCATACCATGTGTGTACATGTGAGAATGGTATGTGTGTGTGTGTGTGTGTGTGTGTGTGTATGCGTGTGTGTGTGCACGTGTGCGCATATGTGTGTTGTCTCTGGGAACAACAAAGCCACTCTTACTCCCCGCTCCCCTCAGTGTCTGCTCTTAAGGCTGTGCAGTGCTCCCCGCCGCTTCCTGGTCCTCACCCTGTTGTTTCAGACCCTCGGCCTTGCACGTATTTTGTCCAGCTTTCTCTGCAGTGCCAGTCTGTCTGCTGTGAGGAAGCAGGCTTGGGTGTGTTCCTTCCCATCTTACCGTCATTGGCGGAGCACCCCTGGCTCCTCCTGTGAGTGCCAATGCAGGCGCGGCACCCGCCCCGTCTTCTTTCCTTACACGTCCCTCTGTCTGCCTCTCTGTCCTTACAAAGCAGCCTCTGGGACCTGGCTCGGAGCCCGAAGACTGGCAAGAGCGAGTGTTGACTCTTGAGGAACGTGGAGCCGATCAGGAGACAGATTCATAAAAGCAAGATATTTCTCTGCGGAGTGTCCCGAGGGAGATGTCTCCGACAGGCAGGGAGGGAGACTGGCTGCTGTGAAGGGGCTGCAGGGGGTTCAGCCCAGACAGGACAGCCAGGAGAGCCTGCCTAGGGTTGGCTTAGAGGAATCGTAAGGTGGGTTTAAACATTTTTGTTTGTTTGTTTGGGGGCCACACCCGGTTTCACTCAGGGGTCACTCCTGGCTCTGAACTCAGGAATTACTCTTGTTGGTGCCTGGAGGACCACATGGGATGCTGGGATGGAACCTGGTCAGCTGGCTGTATGCGTCTTTCCCACTGTACTATGGCTCCTGCCCTGGGGTTAAACATTTTCTATTCAAATAAATTAATGAGTGGTTTTGGAGGGTCTTCCCCAGTATTCTTGGAGCCCGGGGTACTTGTGGGACCAAGTGGTACTGGGACTGAACTCAGGACCTTGTTGTGTACACAAGGCAGGTATTCCGGCCATCTGGACTGTCTCCCTGGCAAGAGTTACAGGCATTTTCAGTGACTAGGGAGTCAGTTCCCTCCCTCTGAGTCAGCTTCAGAAATCTGAGGATCTGTTCAATAATGTAGTTCACTTTAACGTCTCTTGGCCACTTGGTTTTCTTCTGAGTCCTCGTTTTCACAAACCTGTTAACTCTGCTTCTCACAGCGGCTTGTCAAACCCATGGCTTATCAACCCTCTCCTTGCCTCTGCGCACTCTCAGGCAAGGGCATGAAATGACGTTTGTTTGGTCATTGTGAGCAGTGGGTCACTGCTTATAGAGCTCTAAATAGAGTTTGATGCCACAGGGCGACCCCTTTTGCTAAATGGGACAAATGCCAATGAAGCTGTCGGGTATGAGCTGAAGCCAAAGTAGGCACCCACTAAAGGGCCCAACAGGAAGTAGGCACCCACTAAAGGGCCCAACAGTTATCATCTAAAAGGCCAGCCTCTCCGGGACTTTTGGTAACTGCTATTACACCGTAAAGGAAATAAATGTATTCATCTCTGCTTGAGATGTACAACATGGCAACAACCTATTAGTCTGGGCACCACGTTTCCCAGTTTATGCAGGAAACCCTTATGGAGTGTGTACTTTGAGCTCAGGATTGATTCCAAGGAAGTTGAGAAGCCAATGGAGACTGTATGGTCTGTGCACAGCAGAAGCCAGTTGGGAAAGGCAGAGAGCCACCGGCATGGCTACCCCACAAGTGACAGAGCAAGCGGGCGGGCAGCGATAAAAGCAGGCTGCAGGAGCAGAGCTGAGACGTGCAAGGAGCACCCTGGCATTCTGACTCTGGAGTCAACTCCGTCCACGCAAGCAGGGGCTAACTCCCTCTTCCCCAGTAGACATGGGTCCATCTGGCTGAGACTTCCTCCCAAGTCTGAGTCCTCTGTGTTTGAAATTACTTGTGGAAGAAACAGGAACCAGCCACTACCAACGGCGCAAGATTGCTTTCTCTTACTCTAAGACGGAGGCTCTTCTAAGGGGGGAAGGACCTCTCTGGTCTAAGCGAGGCACCATTTTTGACAGGCCATTGCTTCTCAGTCTACTCATAACCTGGGATTGTTGGGAGGATGCGGCGAGACCACTGCAAGCAGGATACACAACGCCTAACCAAGCTCAAACGCTTTATCTGAATATTCTAACCCCTCGACTTTCTATTTGAAGCTGAGGGCACATAATATTTTAAGTTGTACCCATAACCTCAATACGAGTTCAAAGAAAGGCAAAATAGAAAGCAGGTTATCTATATCAGAGTCAGCATTTTTTTTTTTCTGTAGAGTTGCAGATGATAAATAGTTTAGACTTTTGATCCATATGGTTTCCGTTGCACTGACCCACACTGCCATTGCAGGTTGAAAGCAAGTCAGACACAATTGAATGAGTGACTGTGTGCCAATAAAACCATATTTACAAAAAAAGTTGGTGATGGGCCAGATTGGAACTGTGGACTGTGTTTTGTTTTGCCAACCTCTGGTTTCGATGTCTCATGAAACCGATGACAATGACAACTGCCACCTCCCAAGGCTCTGTGATGGTTTGCAATGTGAGACATTACATTCAAAAATAACTTTAACCCATCATAAAACTTTCTTGCTTTTCAGATCTTGATTTTCTAGGGCAGATCCAATTTCAAGCCATTTAATCATAAATTTTTAATAAAAGCCACGTGTGGACTCTGGGGCTGACAGATCTCGGTTCACATCCAAGGATCACTTTATGTATGACTTGGAGATGACTGGAAAGTCAATGAACTCTAAAAGCCTCAGTTTCCTCATGTAAAAAATGGAAGGCATAACTAAATCAATTATTTATTGAGAAGATAAAAGAAGAGGTAATATAAAGCATGGTAATTTGATAAGTGAGAGCTGCCAGTTATTACTATTTTTACTGCCAGATATTATTGTTATTACTTGATTTATATCTAAACTTCATGCAACTTCACTAAGGCATTCACAATAACTCTTTCCTAGTTCAAACTGTGTCAACATTTGTGCCATAAGCTGTGGTCCTCATTAACACAAGCCTTGTCAAAGGGAGCTGAGACAAGCCCAGTGCCAGGATCTTAGGGGTCAACATTCAGCTCAGTAGGTGGCAGTGAAATGGGTTCAGGGCCATGAAGATAAGCCAGACCATCTCCCCCACCTCCCAGCCCCCATCTTTTTGGTCTCCTAGAATCCCATTCTTCTCCTGGAGATCAAGTGTCCCAAGTATGCCCTAATTACCAATTCTGCATTTAGTTTAATGTCTTGCTCCCTCTGTTAGATTTGAAACCACACAAAGGCTACTTTAGACCTAACTCAGTTCATTGCACATGGCAAACTATGCATTTGCTGAAAAGAATCAATGAATGGAGACCTAGATTATGGCCCTTTTTATGAAATCTTAGGAAAGTTGCTTTTCCTCGTTTGACTTCGATTTACTCATCTACAAGTGAAAGTTTGAATAAGATGATCTGTGAGGTCTTCTGGTATAACAGATCTTACAGGGAAGGCTAAAACAACTATACATTTGGTATTTTTTTTTTTCTCTTCAACACACTTCACTCAGCATTTGCCATTCCTAGCGAGTGTTGATTCTGGGAGCACTGGGAGATATGACATATTCTGTTCTTTGCTTTCAATAATTTTCTATTATATTTCTTTAGACCTTATTTTGTTTTAGGGAAAATGTGAATGTGTCTCAAACAATGCTTCTCAAAGTGAATTTAGTGGAAACATCATTGAAAAACAAGCTTCTGGGATCAAATCAGTTCGGAAAACACTACATCCTATATTCTTATTCTAGAAAGTCACACTGACATATAGCAAAGGCTCCAAGAAGTCTTACAGAAATGTGTTATACATGAAAGGGGGTGGTGTGGGCCACACCTGGCAGTGGTCGGGGCTTACTTCTGGCTCTGTGCTCAAGGGATCATACCTGGAGGTGTCTGGACACCATATATGGTGCCTATGATTGGACCAGAATGGGCCACATGCAAGGCCCACCGGTCTAAGAAATACCTGGAATTGATACATGAAATTCTCACTGGCCCAATACATACATGAAA